CCTCAACTAGTGACAAAGCTGTGTCGCCTATTTCCTGCAGAATGTTGGAAGCGCCCCCCCAGTGGTGGGCTGCGGCACCGTTAGTTGCTATGGTGACCCTTAGCGTTTTCTTGAGTTACATGCCCCTCCTGCTGCTAGAGTCTGAAACCTTGCTTTAACTGCAAAAAGAGAGAACTCGACCTCCAAGGGAGCTCCTTTTGATTTGCACCACTTCTGGACCATCTGGGATAAGAATGTGCGTTTTTAAAAAGCTCAATTTGGTCACATTTTTAAATGTGACCAAAATGACCACAAAATGACCACATTTTAAAATTGCCAAGAGCAATTTGTAGTGCTTCTGATTGTTAAAGCACCCATCCTCTTCTGCCTTTCAAGTTTGTATTTATTGTTGGGGTGTGCACTCCCAGCTGTGTCTGCCCTTATTCCATTATATGAGACCCACTTCTAAGAGCAGAAGGCAGGCCAGCGCCTAACAACCAAATAGCAAACACTTGTTATTATTGCAAAATTAACCTAGATAATCAGAAGTAAAAGCCAATTTCATGCTTTCAGATGAATGCCCACGTTATGTACTGTCCATGAAATTAACTTGGGACTTTTAGGGGATGCCTTTGGTTATTAACATCCAGTTTTGCTGCAGGGACAAATCTCTTACTTAAGCCAACATATTATGTGACAGGTTTAGGCATGAAGTGGAGTGTTGTCACTTTTCCTTAGTGTTTCTCTGAAGGAATTTAAAGAGAGAATTTTAAACTACGGTTGCAATATTTCAGGTGGCTCTCCCACAAAGCCCCCATTAATGTTTGTTAGATTTCATACATCTTAAAGTACTGCTTAAAAACAAGTGAAACTCATAGATACTGAATAACTTAGAAGAGAAAAAACTGTTACATTCCCATTTGGAGTATATGATGATGGGTTAGCACCTCTTCTCTCACTATACAAGACAAAACCTTGGGTCAACAATGACTGGGCCACTTTTTAAATTCTTAACTAAAAAAGTAATGCAATAGAGGGGTTATTCCCCCCTCCAGAATAACTTTTATTTTAAAATAAAGGATTTTATTTAGCTTTTCTTTGCAAAGTTTGATTTTATTGCCCCTGAAAAAAAAATCTTTCTCTTTGCTTTAAAGATTTTTTTTAATCCAACCTGTGAAGTTTATCATTTTTACTGTTACTGAAATAGGATATACTATATATGGGATATATATTACATGGTGGAATAAATTATATATTATTTATGGCTAAAGAATAGAGCCAGGCTAATGTCCACAGCCAGAAATAATACATGAACGTGGTTCATTTCGGTAAGACAGCCGATTGTAAGTGTAGATAATGACTTGATTACAGATGCCACTACCTGAATCCTGATAATAAGACTTGAGTCAATGAAATCTAATCACAGCATCATTTTTTTTCCATGGCTGTGAGTAACTTAAAATCAAGACAGGGTAGAGCTGGAGTAGAAAACAACCATTTGGTTGTAGGTATAAACACAGGGATGACTGAGAAAATTATTCATCTTGGCCACCACACAGCCTGACATTAACGTTAGGGTTGATTGTATTTGATCTCATCTGCCCAAGGAAAAGAAGAGTTCTCCTGGATGTTGAATCACTGTCTTTTGCACAGCCCATTTCGTTTTTTCCCTAGAAAGGTGGTTGTGGAAGAGCCGGCCGAGGTGCCCTGGCCCTGAGCCCAAGGCCTGGATGTCCATCTGCCAGCTGGGAAACCTGAGGCCAGTGCTAAAGCCTCCTTGAGCCGGTTCCCTCATCTGCGAAATGGAACTAATCTTGATTCCTGTGCTGCCTACCTCACAGGGCTGTCTTCAGGACAAAATGGGTTAGGTTGTAAACTGTAAAGTGCTGTCCAAATGTGAGGTAGCGTGATTACCATCCTAATCTCTCTTTGGCAGAGAATTATTTAAATGTATTTCTTTGTTATTTGTGTGTGTGTGTGTGTGTGTGTGTGTGTGTGTGTGACAGACCTGTGTGTTACTTTGAGAAGTATAATGTTTGTGTCCAGTAACTTTGCAAATCTGACATTTGTGACTCTGACAGAGGGGTTTGTGCCATGGCCTAACACTTGCCAGGTGGGGTGTGGTTTATACCCATATGCAAATTAAATTTTGCCTTTCTTGGTTCTCGAAAATCTCAGTAGTCTCTTCATTGATTCTTTTTGCATTTTCCTACCTCGTCGTCTTTGTAGCAATGGGCTTCCTCAGATATTCGTTTTACTTCTAAAGTTCAGGAGAAAATAAAGTTTGGAAGAAGCCTATGTTGCAGGCACTAAAATGTCAGAGAATTCGGGGGAACCTCAGAAAAAATATCAAGGGCCATCAAGCCCCACTGTCTTTCCAGTGCTTGAATCTTTCCTGTGACATCCCCAGCCCACATCTGACCACCTTTGAACACCCCCAGGCACACAGAACTCATTACTGCCCAAACAGCTCCGTTCATCTAATGGTAACTCAACACTTATGACCAGGCTGAGTGCATAGGGGACCTGGCCAGGCCATCACTCCGACCTCGGATGGGCTACTGAGCCGTCTGAGGCCAAGTCCTCACCTATGAAATAAGACGCGAATCTGTCCTTAGAATTACTGCAGTGGCTACATGGAATAATGTATATAAAAATACTCTAACTTTAGTCAAGTAGATGAGGTCATGCTAACATTCCGAGCTGAAGAGAGCATGATGCAGCTGTTGCACACAAGTGAGAACTGAGGGAAGGAAGAATTTGGCTGTCTCCTATTTCCTTGGCTTCCCTTTCCAATTCTGAAATAAGCAACGAGGCTGGTGGGGATTCAGGAACCCAGGTTCTTCTCATTTAGTGAGTTGGCCACCCCACACAGCATTGCCCTTGCCTGCCACCACATCCAGACTCCAACTGGACGCAGGAGTGGGAAAGAGGAAGGCCAGGACAGATTTCCTCTAAAGCAAGTGATAGGGCAGTTGCACGCTTCACTTCTGTTCCTGTCCGTGTGACAAGAGCGAGCCACGTGGCCACACTGGCTACTAGGTGTGGAGAGAGCCCCCGAACTTTGAAGGGAGTTGGCAGCGATGAGAAAAGGATAAATGGCATACGACAGGGATCATGTTTGAAGGATTTGGGGAACTGTGGAATTCTGTTGAGTCACTTGTTACCCCTGTCATAAGCTTCACGATGGCCAGGTCCCCCAAAGAAAAGCAGCACCCCATTTTCTCAGCAGTGTGCCCACTTCTTTTCTGACCTAACTTCTGTAAAATGAGCCTGTAAAAGATGAGGGCTTGAGGTAAGAGGGGGGTCTCGGGGAGTGGGGAGCACTAATTGTCCATTAGAAAGGAATTGGGGGAAAAACGAAAAAGAGGAGTTTCTCATTGTAACTGCCATTCTTTAAACTCTGCCTCTCCATACTCGTCAACGCGTCATCATTTTCTGGGTCTGGGACCTGGGTTCCTTCAGGGTCACTAGATTTATTTCAGCTGGTGTCTGAAATGACTGGGAAGAGTGTGCCCACAAAAGAGCTATTTTGGAGGAAACAAGCCTAAACTACCCCTACCCCCTCACTCCTAACCCCAACCCGCAGAGCCCAGCCTACTGAGAAGCTCCTCACTCCAGAGACCTCCAGCTTCCTGCCCGTTCTGCTGGAGGAGGCCCCCAGGGGCTGGAGAGACCATGGTCCATTTTGATAGAACGTGCAAACTGGGAACTCTGACTCTCTAGAAGTTCATGCAGTCAGTTTGGTTGGTCTCAATCTGCAAATGTTTTAATGAAATAACAGAAGAGCCTAGAAAATATCTGAATATGTCATGTAGAAAGGGTAAGTATGGTTTTGTAAAAATTTCGATTCGGTGTAAGCTAGGTCAAAATGATAGCATATATATTAACTGAGGTATGACCATTACAAAGTAAGGCACTTGCATCCTGTGTGCACGGCTTGAGGCATTTTCACACATGCATGCACCCATACAATCACCCCCAAATCAGGAAACTTCCCAGACCCCAGAAGGTCCCCTCATGCACTCTCCCAGTCAGTGACCCCATGCAAAGGTAATATTTATTTTTGCTTTGGGTCATAATTAAAAGTAGGAACTCTGAAAGAGAACCACTCTAGGTGGGAGGTTATTTCTGGGCTCCACCCCCTGCTCCGGGTTGGACCCTGAGAGAAAAAGGGAAAGGAACCGGGCCATAAAGGCTGGGTACGTGACCGTCACCAGAGACCCAGGCAGCTTCCTCTGAAATGTCAGGGCTGCAGCCCAAGTCCTCGTGGGTCACTGCTATTTACAGCCAACCTTTCTGGTTTGGGGCGCATGTCCCAAGCAGGGCTATTTTTAAGCAGGGATGTGGCCTGCAGGGCCTTCTGGGCGATACATTAAACTGGTGCGGATTGAAAGGGAAATTGCCTAGCAGTCTACTTCAGAGGGCTTGATCTAAAAGAGAAACGTGATTGTCGTTGTCCCTGAACCCGGGCCCCAGACAGCAAGTTGGAAGGACCTCTTCTGGCCCCTGGCTCAGAGCCTGGTTAGCGGCTGGCGCGGGGGAGCTTTACCCATCTTCTACCTCGCAGCCCTCGGCTGGGGGGTGTGGAGGGGGTCGTTCTCCAGAGCCAGCCGCCTGCCCCCGCCCCTCTCGCGGGATGGGGCCGCTGAGGGAACGTGGGAACCAACCCCCTAACAAGTGCGGCAGCCCCCCCGCCGGCGCTTCCACCCCGAGGTCGAAGCCGGGCTCTGCGAGGCTGGGCGGTCCGTCAGCCAGGCTGCGGGTCCGAACGTGGCAGAGCCCTGGGAGCGGCGGCCTCCAGGACCGGACATGTGGGAGGGCAACGTTTGGGAGAAAAGGCAGGCGCTAGAGAGCCCAGGCCCCAGCCGGAGAGTGCGAAACCCGCCTTCAAGGGCAGCGCGCTGGGAGCCAGCGCGCCCTGACGTCCGACGGGAGAGTTGGGATTGGCCGAGATGGGCCCCGGCCCCGCCCAGCCCCGCGGCTTTTCAAGGCCGAGGCCGGCGCGGGCCGTTTACACTTCTCAGCTGTTGCGGGCAGCGGGACTTGGGAGACTCCGGCTCCAAGGTCAGTGAGCCCATGAAACCCGACTTTCTTCCTGCAAAGCGGGGGCGCTGCTAGAGCCAGTGTGAGGGGTCTTGTGAGCAGTGGGCCGAGGGCTGCGGGCCGGGGCCTCTAGTGCCGCGGTGACAGTTCTCACGGGCACTGCTCGCGGGCGAGGGGTTCGTGGCGACTCCCTGAAGAAGCCGTCGGAGTGTGGGCCTTGCTGCCCGCCCCGCTCTTCCCGGCACACAGGCGCCGGCGACCATTTCCTGCGACAGCTCTGCGGTGAGGCGCGGCCCTCCGCACCTTGCTTGTCCGCTTGTTTCTGACGGCGCCTTAGGAATTTTTCTTGATGGAACATCTAAATGTCTGCGTTTGGGGCCTTAACCCTCAACTAATCCACTCGTTTCTGGGAATGATTTTTGATTTTCAACCCCAGCAGCATCAAAAACAGGTGCAAAGAAGTGACTCGGGATAAATAAGTGGGAAAATGAACCTTTTGAGGCCCTCCGAAGGAGCTAATTACTAATTAACCCAACAGCTGGACCCAATTTAAATTGGCTAATACTATTGCTAGAGTCATTTTTGAAATCCTTAATCCATTAATAATGAGCCACGTAACTGTTTTGCCCCCATCGGAGGTAAAAATGCCGCACAGTTGGCCTTAACGTGCTTCGTCTCTGGCAAACTGTTTCTTGTTTGCTTGTTCGCTGGGTTGGCTCACGGGGCTTACGGTCAACCCTGGCTTTGGCCCTTGAGTGGATGACATCTCCGGCTTCCCGTGCGCTGGTGGGCGTGGAGAGTGGCCACCAGAACAAGCCACCCTCACTCGGCTGTCGTCAGTGCTGCCCTTTGGACCCTCCCTCAGCGCTGCCCTGGCTTTGCGACCGCGCGCGGGCTCAGCTGGAATCACGTGAGGGGGCAGTTCGTGCCCTTGTGACAAGGTAATGCTCGGTCAGCTGCTGTGCTGTTTCCAGAAGTGCCACTTCTCTTCCGTTTTGGAACTCGTGTCCTTGGTCGGCTAACTCCGCTCAAGGAGAAGAACACCACCACCACCAGAACTTGGCAAGGGGGCTTCCTGACTGAGCAGGCTCTCAGAGGATATTTGGGTGCTATTAAGCTGTGTGGGTGCTCCACGTCCGCCTCTGCACTTAGAGGTGCTTTCCCCCCCCCCCAACACCCAGCCTTTAGAGTTAACCCTTCTGTGGGCTAAGACTCCATTTCAGCAAAGGGCAGGACGGCCACCTGCCTCCACGGACTCTGCCAGTTCATGATGAAATCCTATCCTTAGAGAACGGGCCAGAGGTCAGGTCAGCTTTCCTAAAGGGGTGACTGAGAAAGGTCCAGAAAGTCATGGGGTGGGAGGTGGGATGAGGAATGGGGAGTCCTGGGTATTCAGAGGCAGGAGGAGGATCGGTTCTGAGACAGACTTTGCCCCTGGGTTAGAGGCCCCGGGGTCTCCATCCCTGCCAGAGCCTAGAGGAGCCATTTGTCATCTTTGTGCCAGCTGGGAGTTCCTGCCCCACTGAGCCAGGAATCCTGCAGGGAGCCAGTCCTGAAGGTGACTGTTGGAGGTCACACCCACCCTTGCCTTGAAGCCACACACAATCCTTTCCTTGGGCAGCAAAGAAGGCACCCACTCCTTTACAGCATTTCACAGGACTAGATGGTTCCTAACTCACTATTTTCTTGAAAACAGTTTACCTGTGAGAGATGAGTCTGGTAATGGTCCTATGTGTACATTAACAGGAGCCCTAGGAGAGGCCTCTGGTTTACAGGGAAGGACTATAAATATCTCCTGCTTATGACCTTCTACTTGCTGAATAGAGCAGAGGTGACCAGCGGTGCCCGTGGGTGACAGTGTATCTAGTAGTGGTGAAGTAACTTGAACCCTTTGCTCTCTGGGAGAACTGGGAGGGGACAGCCATTTTCTGTTGGCCTAGTAGACTGGCATCATGGGAATTTGTTCAGAGTGTTCTTTGGAGCTGGTCCAACCCTAAGGATGTCCTCTGTTTTGGGGTGACTCTCTGGAAGGAAACTGACACGTGGTCCTCTTGCCCTCCACTGCCCTCCAGCCCCAAGGAGTTCAAACACGTGGACACCATGTACAGCTGGATCAGAAATAACTCTTGAGTCAGCAGAAAGGCACCTGTGGCGTCTTTATCCAGGATATTCAGGAAGACCAGGAATGTCCAGATTGAGGCAGTGACAGAACCCAAGGCCTCCATATTCCAGGATGTGACAGAACCTGACAGAACTCTTAGACCAGGGGCACCTGGGTGGCTCAGTTGGTTAAGCAACTGCCTTCGGCTCAGGTCATGATCCTGGAGTCCCGGGATCGAGTCCTGCATCGAGTCCCGCATCGGGGACTCAGCGGAGGAGTCTGCTTCTCCCTCTTACCCTCCCCCCTCTCATGCTCTCTCTCTCTCATTCTCTCTCTCAAATAAATAAATAAAATCTTTAAAAAAAAAAAAAAAAACTCTTAGACCAGGACCCAGACTCCCAGTGTGCCTGCTAGGACAGAGAGATAAACAGCTCTTGGGCATGGTGACCAAAGGACTTAATATGGTGGTTCTTATTTTTTAACAGAGAGGGCAAGTCCCAACAAACACAATATTATTGGCTTTTGCTGTGATCTTGCACCCTGGATAGAAGCCTCCCTCGCTTGGAGCCCTGGGATTCTGCCAGATTTTAGCCCTGATGCTGTAAACAGTGCTTTTCAAATCAGTAGTCATAGAGATGTTCCAAGTTAGGGAAACAGAGCCCTTCTATGGGGTGGGGGCTAGAAACAACGTCCCTCCTCACCCCTGCAGCCCTTCCCCCCGCATAAGGGAGGAGACAGAAGGGAAGGAGAGGGAAGACAAGCCTATGCCCCACCACCTTAGAAAAAGGCAGGCTGGCACTTTGGGTGCCTGGTGTCTGAGTGGAGCAGACAGAGGAGCCTTGACATCTGGGCTACCTCAGGAGCCTGAGGACAAGGAAAGAGAATGGCTTATAATATTCCGGGAGTATGGGGAGTTACATGCTTTGAGGGGACATTCCTGTGTCTAGGAGCTGTTGTGATAAGTGCATTTCTACAGTCTTGGGGAGTCTGAGTGGAGGGTTCTGTGGCACTCCCAGGTCCTAAATCACAGGTGCTTTTCCTCTGATTACTGATCAGTGCAGGGCTGCCTGGGAAGTGCTGTGGTCTACAAGGAGCCCAAATCCAGGGCCAAAGACACACCTGGTTCAAATCCCAGCTCTTTCAACATGCCCCTAGACCTGGAGAAGGTCACCTAACCTCTCCTGAGCCTCTCTTTCCCCCATCTACAAAATAATGCTTACTTGGCAGGATTGTTGCAAAGATTGAAGACGTTGTTTGTAAGGCCCCTTGCATGGTGCATGGCTCACGGTAGGAGCTCAATAAATGTCAGTTAAAAACAAAAACAAAAGACAACAGGTTTGACTGGGCATGCGGGGATGGAAAGGACATCCCAAGTGGAAAAGCAGAGTGAAGGATCAGAGGTGGGTGAAGCCAGTAGGTGAAGGATTGTCAACTGGGGATAAGATCAAGATCCCCTGATAACAGGGGTCTGGAGAAGAACTTAGGAGCCCAAGTAGTTAAATCCATTTAGTCAACTTAGATGTTGGTTTTTAGAGCGTGATCAGTGGATCTGAAAGTATGCAGTGGGTTCCTTCTAGAATGTAGTCTTAGATTACAAATAAAACAATTACATGAAACACTTGAAATGCTAAAAACATAAGCTAAAATTAACATCCAGAGAAGGAGCAGACCAGTGCTGGTTGAGATAATCATAAGTGGCTTTTGGGAGACAGTGGTAACTCCCCCATAGCCTTGGAGTCATTAGGGAGAAAGGACTTGCATATAGTCGGTGCTCACTGCAGCCTGTCACTTAATTCTCACAACACCTGGGAGAGGTCTCCTTGAGCCCATTATATAGGTGGAGTTGCTAAGGCTTAGATCCCCAGACCCAGTAGGGGCTTGGAAATCACCTGTGAAGCTTTTTTCAAATGCACATGTGATGGCCCCATTCTTGCAGAAACTAATTCAAAAGATACACTCTAGAAATCTGGACTTCTGACACGCTTCACAGTTGATTTACTTTTTAGCTTGTTACTTTTTTTAATCAAAATTCTACATGCTTATTTTTACAAGTGACACAATACAGAGTTCTATTAAGATAAAATTAATAATCTGCCTCTTCCAAGTCTCTTGTTCTGAAGTAACCCTTTTAGCAGTTTGAATAACTAGTATGAATAACCTTCAGTACTTTATGTTCACATAAATATATGCAAATGCACATATATTTATGCTGTTATGAAACCAGAACCACTCATTCTCATTGCTATGCAAGTAGTTTTTCCTTTTAACCTAAAAAATATGGTATAGTTGTTCATCCAGGTTAAGTGGAGGCAGTTTTAACTAATTCTTTACTGGCTGTGGCATATTCCACCGTCTGAATGTGCCACACTTAATACAACCCTTCTCCCTCTGATGGACAGGTGACTTCCAGGTTTCATTTGCCCCTACAAACAGTGCTCCATAATCCTCCTGTGAGTCTCTTCTTGTATACTGCAGCTTTATTTCTGCAGAATGGATTTTCAAAGTGTGATCCTTGGGCCAGTGGCTATGCACCTGTTAATAGAGGTTTCTTGGTTCACTTTCCAAAATGGTTGTAGTGTCTCACTGAGCAGTCTAGGTGATTGGATCACAGCCGACAAGGGTAGGGCTATGCAGCGCTGCACCCTGTCTCACCTCCTGCCTCCCTGACCCTCCTCAGCACTACTCAGCAGGAGCCTTTTAAGACCAAAAGAAGACCTATCCTTGCCCTTTGCATGGGTCTTTATTTATTGTTCCCTCCAGCTTTATTGAGATGTAATTGACAGGTACCAGTGTATAAGCTGAAAGCGTACATTGGATACAAGTATATATTGTAAAATGATGGCTATCATAGCATTAGCTAACACCTCTATTGCATCACATAATTACCCTTTCTATTTTGTGGTGAGAACATTTAAGATCT